GATATTATATATATATATTATATTTCATATGTTATATCTGCATGGCGTGTTCGTATTTTCCACCTCGTGTGTTTTTTGCGTTTGTACAGGAGATTGACGGTCAGGCGCTGCTGCTGCTAAATCTACCCACGGTGCAGGAGCACCTTGAACTGAAGCTGGGGCCCGCCGTGAAGCTCTGTCATCACATCGAGAGGGTCAAGGTCGCTTTCTTCGCACAGTTTGCCAAGTAGATGGCGGAATGCTCGCCACGTAGATGGCGCCGGCGTGGTGACAAACGTTCATGTGTTTGCCGTGTAGGTGGCAGCAGCGTGTTGTCGAGAGTTTGTGTGTTTGCCACGTAGATGGCGCCAGCAAGCATTGTAAGGTGTGGCGTGCCAATTAGCTAGCATCATATGCAGTATGTACACATTTATACGTGTACTGTATAGTATATTCGTGTGTGGCGCAGCATAACGTAAGGCGCCGTATGCCTAAGTATCTAACTAAATGCGATAAATAAATATATATATATATATATACCTTGTATATTCATCTATAGCGCAGCAGAGACGTACATCGTTGCACGGCGTGCCAAGTATGTGTGGTGCATCGTGGTGCATCGTGGTGCATCGTGGGGCATCGTGGTGCATCGTGGGGCATCGTGGTGCATCGAGGTGCATCGTGCTGCATCGTGGTGCATCGTGGTGCATCGCGGTGCATCGCGGTGCATCGTGGTGCACGTGCCACACACTAGTGTACAGTGCACCGCGCTGTACCGCGCCTTGATTTAAATTACGATTTAAATGCGTTATGTGCGCGCGACGCGCGTTACGGTCTGCTGTGTTAGTGGCGAATTCTTGATGAATAATACTTGTTAGCTTAGCGTTAGCGCGATTGTCTGTACATGCGGGGCAGTTATGTACGGATATACGACCACGTTCATGCGAGGTTACGTTTTTTTTTATCACGCGATATCGTGATAGCAAAGTATATCGCTACGTTTTATCCAACTGTGAATTCTTAATTGTGTAAGTCGATCTCACGCGTGTTTGTCGTGTGCGAACGTGTGCACGTGCAGTTTCTGCGTAGAAATAGCGCGTGCATATACGCGCTGACATATAACACGACGTAAATACAACACGAATGTACAACACAACTTGCGTGTCTGTACATACATGATGTAGCATATATTAATAAGGTATCGACCTTACTAACCTTGCAAGGTCGGCACTTCACCCGTGGTGGCATTGTCGGCGAAAACACGCCAAACGCGCAGGCATTCTGGTGATATCGGGGTTTAACTACCGAGTTGGACGTGTGTGAAGTGTCATGCAACCCGTATTGGTGGTATTCAGCACCTTCTTAGGTGGCGGTGGGGTCAGGGGGGGGGGACCCCTGCGTTATGTTACTGACCGTACGCGTATGTAGGTACAGGTACACGTACAAATGTTTGCGTCTAACTGTCCGATAGATTTAGCATGTGTTAATGATGTATATATGTGTGTATATATATATATATACATATATATCAGAAGTAGATAATAGGGAAGGATAATAGGGGAATTCCCTATTATCTACTTCTGATATATATACACACACATATATATATATATATACATATATACTAGGGTTTAGACGCACATGCGACCGCCGTTGTCAATGTAACATCGGCCTGCCCGCGCGCCTGCGCAGCCGGGGGGGGGGCGTCGTAATGTTCTGTATTTACTGATAAGTAACTCATCCTGTATCTAATATACATAGAATATACTGCAATACATCCTGTATTTGAATCCAATCATCCGTTTTTTTCCGAAACTGCCATGTTACCGCCTTTGCCTAACTTTTCTCAGAAGAACCTGATGTATATATATTATATATACACACATATATATATATATATATATATATATATACATATATATTATAGGATAGAGATAGTTAGAGTAGAGGGGTGGGTGTGGACTCTGCATCTGTGATGGCAGCTTTGATAGGTGAATGATGCGGGAGACCGAGTTAAACCGTCGCTCATCCGCCATGTTTGTGCGCGACTGTAGCCGAAGCCCTGGGAATAGAGGGAAGCTCTGCTTTCCTGCTGCTTGAAGTTTAAGACTACCCCAGCCACGCACGGGAGAGCGATGTTTCAATAATTAATCTGGAGAATATGGCATGACTGTAATGGGCCATAGGTCTTTACGTGACTGACGTGTCATCAGTACTTGACATTGTCAGCGCCGAATTGAACATTGGTATCATTATTGACCTATTGTCACCCGGAATTGACATTGTTATCATTATTGACATTGATCCCAGTATGATTGTCATCAGTATTGCCATTGTCATCAGCATTGACATTGTCACCAGTATTGACATTGTCATCGGTATGGACATTGTCACCAGCATTTACATATTAATCAGAATTGCCATAATCATCGGAATTTACATGTTAATCAGAATTGACATTGTCATCAATTGACATTTGTCAACCAGTATTGACATTGTCACCAGTATGATTGTCATCATATTGACATTGTTCATTCCAGCATTGACATTGTCACCAGTATTGACATGTCATCGGTATGACATTGTCACCAGCATTTACATATTAATAGAAATTGACATTGTCATCAAATTGACATTGTCCACAGTACCATTGATATAGACATTGTCACCAACATTGGCATTGTCACCAGTATTGATACTACCATTGATATAGACATTGTCACCAACATTGGCATTGTCACCAGTATTGATACTACCATTGATATAGACATTGTCACCAACATTGGCATTGTCACTAGTATTGACATTGTCAGCAGAGCACTGTTTCTCAGTACTAGTCTTATCAGCAGTTACATATGCATTGCTATCATAATTCTACACATTCATTTCACTTTCAAAGTAAATAAAAAATGCAGGAACTTCGATTTCGCTTCATATATAAGCGGGGTATGGAAGCTTGATATTAAAATCTAATCTACAGCTAATCTCGTGCGAGGCACAGTGATGATGTCAACGATATATGCTACGTGGCTCTTGTATAAATCATTGCTTATAGCTAACCGGTTAGGCAGCATCGGTGATTGCGCGTAGAGTCGTAAATAAGTTAGGTGGGTGTACAGCTGGGTTTACACTACTAACTTTGTGTTGGCGAATTGGCGAATTGGACCAACTTCTCAACTATACAACCGACAATCGGCAGTGTAAACGCAAAAGTTGCGCGACCAACCGATCGATAGCAACTAGTTGGGAGATTAGAACATATGTTCTATTTTCGGCAACTCGGTAATTGGTCCAACTCGCCAATTCGCCAACGTAATGTCGGTAGTGTATACCCAGCTTTATGCGTGGCAATGCGATAGTATCAGGAGTAGATAATAGAAGATCTTCTATTATCTACTCCTGATAGTATGTCACTCTGCTGTTGATTTTTAACTAGCGCTCACAGTCGGTCAGCAAGGCAGTGTTGATCGAACGAATGGTCGTCTATGTTACTCGCTTTGATTCTAATGTTTAGACTGTTGGCGTTATTCGAGTATTATATCACTATAGTATATATACACATGTGCGTGCGTGCGTGCGTGCGTGCGTGCGTGCGTGCGTGCGTGCGTGCGTGCGTGCGTGTGCGAGACGGGAGAGTGGCAACGGATGCCCCGTTAGTGTCGTGGGTTGGCACGACAATGCATCGTCCGTTGTAACGGAACAAACGATTGGCCTTTTGCGCCTCGGAGGTGCTATTCTATACGTGGAGCGTGGATCGAGAGATGTGGTGTGTGCTAGTGTGTGTTGTAAGAAGGGCCCATGGGCTCCGATCCTTACGTGGTATGTAGGGAGGAGAGTTTACTGTGTTGATCCGCCCCGGTACGTTGTAAGTAGGGCCCGTGTAGATATGGCTAGGCACACATAGCTGTTGTGAGATTTCTCAGACCCTGATGATATGGTTTCTAGGGAGTGTTCACTGTGGTGGTCGATGGTCACAGCAGTATGTTACGTAAGCGTAGTGTCATTGCACTGCTGGTAGATGGCGCACCATGCCTACGCTTCGTATACAGTCTGTTGCCCATACACAGCGACCATCCAGTCGGAGCTGGCTGAATGTAAGATATCAAGAGCTAATAATACGTTAATGTATTACAATTATGTATTACAATTATGTAATACAATTATGTAATACAATTGTGTAATACAATTGTGTAATACAATTATGTAATACAATTGTGTAATACAATTGTGTAATACAATTATGTAATACAATTATGTAATTC